CCAAAATCATGCGAATGGAAGTCATCTTCACCACTGGTGCAAAAATTTCATCGTAATCGATGCCTTTCTTCTGATGGCATCCCTTCACCACCAGTCTTGCCTTCCGTCTCACTAGCTTTTGGCCATCTTTCTTGTTCTTGAACAACCACCTGCTCTTCAAGACTTTCTTCCCTTTTGGACGCTTCACCAAGTCATATGTTTGATTCTTCTTCAAAGAATCCATCTCCTCTTGCATAGCCTTCAGCCAATGGTCTTTGTCTGGATGTGACAAGACCTCTTTAAGGCTTTCAGGCTCCCCCTCATCAGTGATTAGGATATATTCTGAACTTGGATAAAGTCTTGAAGGTTGTCGAACTCGGGTTGACCTTCTCAATGTTGGCTCTTCCACCTGTGGGCTGTTTTGCTCCCCCTGATTAGAAGACTCTCCACTTTCTATTTCAACAGCTTCATCATCAGGTTGTGGCACAATCTCTGGTTGTACCTCTTCAATACGGTCATGTTCATGAGTATTTTCATGATCATCATCGGGAACATCACCTGTTTGTTGAACATCTGGAACAGAAACATGAGACATATCAATAGCACCATGAGATAAATCAGGATAATAAGTATTACCAGCACCTAAGAGTTGAAAACCCATCTCGTGCTCGTAAAATACAACATCTCTACTCCTCACAACTCTTTTCTTTGCTGGATCATAAAGTCTGTAACCAAACTCTTCATCGCCATATCCAACAAACACACAAGGAGAAGTTTTGAAATCAAGCTTCAATCTCTGTTCCTTTGGTACATGCATGAAGGCCTTGCATCCAAACACCTTCAAATGGGAATAAGAAGGATCTCTCCCAAACCAAACTCTCTCAGGAATATCAAACTCCAAAGGAACTGATGGCGCTCTATTTATCAAGTACACAGCGGTTCCAACTGCTTCTCCCCAAAATGACTTAGGAAGGTTGGATATCCTAAGCATACATCTCACTTTCTCAACAATAGTTCTGTTCATCCTCTCGGCAACACCATTATGTTGTGGGGTACCAGGTTCTGTTCTTTCATGTCGAATGCCATATCTTGAACAATATGCTTTAAACTCATTTGTAGTGTATTCACCTCCATTATCAGTTCGAAGACGCTTCAATTTGCAATCTGTCTCCCTTTCCACCATGGCATGAAACTTCTGAAAGATGCCAAACACATCGCTTTTGTGCTTCATCATATAAACCCAAGTTCTCCGAGTAGCATCATCAATAAAAGTAACAAAGTATTTGTTACCACCAAGTGATTCCACCTCAATAGGA